CGTGCGGGTGAAGTATCTGTTCCTGACCTGGCTGGCGGTGCTGGTGGGCAGCTGGGTGCTCTATGTGCAGTTCTCAGCGTACACAGAGCTGTGCAGAGGACACGAGTGCAAGAACGCCATCGTGAGTAATGGCTTTGTTTGTTTCCACCCTGTTATATCGATTATTTTGTAATGGGCTTTTATTTTGCAATTACCACTGCAAGGAACACCTAGTCCGAGGTTGAGGATGTTTAAAGGCCAACCCCATGCATTTATCTGGCTTCTGTGTGTGGCAACTAAAACATTTTGTGAATACTCCTTGTCTTGTCTTTTGATAAGATGGAGAAATTAAATGATCCTGCTCTCTGATTATCAGACATGCACGATGATAACATTTTCTCTTTTTCTCCAAGTGTGATAAATACAGGAAGGGGATAATCGATGGGTCTGCATGCAGCAGCCTGTGTGACAAAGACACTCTCTACTTGAGCAGGTGTCTGTCAACACTGGCTGATAACCAGGTAGGAAACTCAATTATGAAACTAAGTTGTAACTCTACTTCTCGAGACGTTACAGCTTGTTTCAATATGTGGCTAAATGTTCTCCAGGTGTACACAGGAAGCTGGGGGGACCATGATGGGATCATCCGCTGTAAGCTGGGGGAGGTTGTGCACTTAGAGCTGGGCGAGGAGCCGGAGCCCCGGAGAGAAACCCCCGTGTTCGACAAGCCCACCAGAGGCACCTCAGTGGAGAAGTTCAGAGAGATGGTCTTCAATCACCTCAAGGTAAAGGTCTTTCGTATAGAACCAAACATTCTAGTGTGACGGGACGACCCCCCTAAGTTTCCGCCCCTCTCTTTCCACCAGTCCAAGCTCGGAGAGCAGGCTAACCTCGCCAGCCTCGTCAGCCAGATCCTCACTGTCGCCGACGGCAACAAAGATGGACGGGTGTCACTACCAGAAGCCCGCTCTGCGTGGGCCCTCCTGCAGATGGATGAGGTAGAATAAGAAGCCTCTGAAATTAGCAACTAGTACTGCCTGTGGCACAAAATATGGTGTTTTTGTATACGATTTCTCAGCATGGAAAAGTGTCAAAGTTTTGGTGGACCTTTGAAAAATATTGAAATTAAAGGTGGGGTAGGTAAGTTTGAGAAACCGGCTCGAGATACACTTTTTGTTATATTCCATGGAATGCTCTAAACATCCCGATAGCAATGAATATCTTAAGTGCTTTGACAAAAAAAACATTAAAAAAATGTCATCTTTGGAAGCCGTAGTACTGTAAAAAGCACGACCAATCATTTTAAGATGAGATAAGAGATAAGACTTTATTTATCCCGAAGGAAATTGTTGTGCCAGAGTAACAAAATACAATAAGTAATTAAACATCCACAGACAACATGAAACGTAGAAACATAGAAAGTCACACAATCAATGCAATTATTATTAGCAGTATTTAGTAGTTATAGTGCAAAATTAAACTTAGTGGCAGTTACGTAATTGCACGTTATCATAGCATTATTAATAATACTAATAATAATAATATAATATAATATTGCACATAGTTATATATATAGCAGCGAGTGTATTGCAGTTATGGAACTTACAGTATATTGCACATAGTGTTGGTGTGGAAGTTCTCAGTGCCTTTTACTTAGGGGTGAAGAGTTAAAGAGTTTGATTGCCACTGGGAGGAAAGACCTCCTGTGGCGCTGTGTGGTGGTTATGGGTGATCTCAGTCTGTGGCTGAAAGTGCTCTGGTAGGAAACCAGTGTGGCATGCAGGGGGTGAGACCCGTTGTCCAGAATGCTGAGAAGTTTCCTCAGCATTCTCCCATCCGACACCACTGCCAACGACTCCTGATCCACTCCCAGGACAGAGCCTGCTCTCCTGATAAGCTTGTTGAGTCTGTTGGCATCAGCTGTCTTCACCCCGCTGCCC